TGTTCAGACCACTAATTATTACGTACACAATTTTTTTTTTTCACTATTTTGTTTTTTGAGTTATTCTCATTTCTTTATGCTTACTACGGTATACTCTTTTACTTACCATTGCATAATTATAACTTCAGTATTTATACTACCAACTATTCATAATTTCATCTTACTTTAGTATTCTCATTACCGATAGTTGTATAATTCGATCACTTATTTACCAATTGATTAGTATGAGAGTTACATATATCACATACATCAAAATTTCAAACCTTCATATTTCAAGACAAGTATCAAATTTTTTTTTTTTTTTTTTTTTTTTTTACCAACTACTCAATATCCTTCACAATGCTTTATTTCACAGTAAAACTATTCTTTGCACATGCCTTCTTCAAATCCAAATGTCCAATTATCCGCATGTTGATTCAATTTCCAAATATTGTGTGTTTCAGTTTGTCACACCTAATCATATGATCCAAGTATATATGATTGTAAAATCCTTTTTTTCTAACTCAATCCAACATGTTCAATATTATTATCGGATTTTCTTCACAAGACTTTCACACTTTAGGTTCTGCACTATTATCCTATTCATGTTTAACATCATAGCAGTACCTGGACAACAGTCCATAATTCATCTCTTTTTTTATTTTTATTTCATCATTTGCAATCTCAGATGTTATCTTTTCAATATTTTCAATACTACTAACATCTTTCTTTAAATCCTTCTCTAGACTATCTGAATTAATCATTATTCCATTTTCAATGACTTCATCACCATACGTCTCTTCACCTCATTCAATCTTTCAGGCTATTTTCTCAGCATGTTAGATGTTTTTGATTATTTCTTCACTTACCATCGGCATGTTGTCAATTTTCTCCTTATTCATCTTGATTGAATCATCATTCTCGTTGAAGCCATGTTGAGATAATTTCAGATTCTATTCAAATGCTACCTTTTCTTTCTTGGTTGCGCCTTCATCTTTGTTATGCCAGATTCAAGATTATTGTCGTGGGGATTAATTAAAGCATGTATATCTCTAAATTCTGGCCCAAATGACTTCAAGTATTTTATTATATGCTCGCGACTATACTTTCTACGTTCCAGTATCAACCTCTTTGCCACTTCACTTATCAACGTCTTCGACCTTACAACCCTCAAAGTTCTACTACATTACAAGTTAGGCTTTAGTTTTTAACTAAGAACAATAGAAGTTGAGATTCGACTGCAAGATCGAACCTCTTATTTATTCAATTGTCATGTGCGCTTACATCATTGATACTACAAACAATAGACTATTATACGACAATTGACTCTTATATAACCTTATTGTCTTACGTCACATTGCCAACCTTAATACTAACTGCTATGTTGATCCTACTAATTACCATTAATCACATGCAACCAATCATTTCTCTGTCATGAACTAGACCCCCGGGACTTCGTCCCAAAGTTCAACCCATGCAATCCAACTTCAACACTACTCTGTTCCAAATTACATACCAACCATCATTACCAATATAATGCATTACTAACACTCACACTAATTACTATACACTTTTTTTTTTTTTTTTTTTTTTTAATCTTGTAGAAAATCGGATAGATTGTCCTCCAAAGAAACATATTCTTCATCGTTCAATTGTTCTTCATGCACTTGACTTATTCGGTCTTCAGCCATTCCACCTTCGCAGTCAGGTTCGTAGTTATCCAATTTTAATTTCTTAACTCGATTCCTTGTAAACGGGTCCTTCAACTTCAATCCATCAACCTCTTCAACATAGAACTGCCCATGTGTTCTGATTTTGGTTACTCTATAGGGTTCCACCCATCGGTAGTCCAATTTCCTAGAACATGTATCCAGAGTCGAGTCATAGATCAATACCAGATCGCCAATATCAATAGGTTCTCTTTTCTTTGCCCATCAATTATGAAACTTTTTCCAATGCCATTTCAATTCATCACGACTTGTTCGTGCTTTATCTAGATCACTTGCCAAACCTTTTATTTGCAGAGTTCGATATTCGAGCAATTAATCGGTCGTCCATTGACTCCTCGATATATATGTGTGATAGCTTTCCATTACTAGCTCGATTGGCATTATTGGTTCCTTCCATAAACCAAACGAAATGGGGAGTAACCCAAATCACCAACAGTTGTATTTACAGCCCAAATCGCACTTCATACGTATTCATGCCATCGGTTTTGCCATTCTGCACACAGCTTTCGAATAATTTGCGTAAACTTTTACCACACGTTCAGCACGACCATTGGCTTCTAGATGGTAACTAGCAACAAAATGTTGATCCACATTCAATCGCGATGATAGTTCCTCCATTATCGTACTCCTGAACTTAGTCTCTCTATTTGATACTAGAGCAGTGAAATAGCCATGCCGTAAAATTATCTCTTCCCAAATAAATTGAGCTATATTTTTGGCATTCTTTCTTACTAATGCTTTTCCTTCTACATAACTGGTTAGATCTTCAATTGCCAATACCACATGCTCATGCTTCGCAACAGTTCAGGGCAGAGGTCCAACACAATCTATATAGACCTTCTCGAAAATCCAACTTGTCGCGGTCACATGTATCAGTTCTGGCGAGAGTTTCGGTGCACACCTTTAACATTGTTCACAACTCGACACTATTCTCTTAACATCTTCATACATATTTCCTGATCCCTATACATATTTCATCTTTACTATGGTTAGAGTTTTATTGATTCCATGATGTCCGCTTTCATTTGCCAGGCCCTCATGACATGCTTTCACAATTCTGTATTTTTCATGATCATCCAAAATCACACGCTTTGGCGGCGCTCCTTTCTTTGATCTCAAATACAGGTTTTCACCAATTAAACAATATCGTTTCAATTTTCTTTTCAAACGAGGTTGGTCACATGACTCCACGTGTGTTTTCTAGCTCAATTGTTGCAAGTAATGCTTTATCAAAAGCAAGTCACTAATTTTTTGGTTCTCAAAGCCTACTCTATACAAGAGCTTTTCAATGAAATCCTTGTCAGTTCTATTTTCCTGAGGAGGTGGATCGGGATAGCGTGACATCCTATCGGCATTTTCATGTTTCTTGCCCGACTTATACCGAACCCGGAATTCAAATGATTGTAACAGCAAAACCTATCTCATTAATTTAGCTTTTAATTTAACCTTATTGAACAACCACTCCAAAGCCTGATGGTCTACCCACACATCAAACAAAGTACCACCAACATATCGTTCGTTCATGTGACAACCGAATACAATCGCCAAACATTCCTTTTCAGTCACAGTGTAGTGCAGCTCATACTTGCTCAACTTCCTTGAATCAAATGACACAGGTTTTAAATGACCTTCTTCGTCTTCTTGCTCGAGCACAATGCCTACTGAATAATTACAAGCGTCGGTATACATATGATACGGTTTTCATCCATCCTTGCCCGCCTGCCAATCCGGAGCTTTTAGAACAACTTCATCACTCAATTTTCGCTTCAGCAACTCAAATACCTCATTCTCTTCAGGTCCCCAACGGAACTTAGCGTCATGCTTGGTCAAATCCGTCAACAGTTTTGCAATTTGGCTGAAATTTTCGACAAATCGTCGATAATAGTTTAACACACCATAGAACGATCTTATTTCATTTACGTTATAGGGTACTTTTCAATCACGAATTTTTTTCACCCTTTTCGGATTTATCTTAATTTCCTCTGTACTTACTACGTATCCATACATTTCTAACTCATTGTACAAAATAAAACACTTTTTCGTGGCAAAAGTTAAACCCGCATCCTTAAAGACCTTTGCTAACGCTATGAACATCTCTAAATGTTCCTCCATGCTTCCATTAGTCCAAATTCCAACATCGTCTTGATACGTAGCAGCGACATTTTTCCATCTTTCACCATCTAACAAATGATCTATTAGCCTCTGGAAGGTTTCGCTTGCATTCTTTAGGCCTATACACATTACTGTATAGCAAAGTACTCCAAGAGGGGTAGCCACAGCCACTTTGTCATGGTCCTTTTCACGGATACCTATCTGCCAATATCCTTTAAACGCGTCAACCAATGAATACCAATCATGGCCGGCACCTTGTTCCAGTATATCTCGAATTATTGGTAGAGGGTAACTGTCTTTAATTATATACTTGTTGAGGGTTTCATATTACCAACTGCCCTTAATTTGTCAGTTCTGCTTTCTTTCTTCTGTACCAGAAAGCAATGGTAAGCATATTCGCCCGACCCTTTTTCCAAAAGGCCACATTCGATCATTTCCCTTAGGTGGTCTTCGAACATTTTCTTCATCTTGGGATTGTTTATTCTAATCAGCCACAATCGCATAGAAGGTACGATGATATCATCGGTTCTAACCTCATATTCCACTAGGTTCGTTTTTCCGATATCTCTTAACTCATAAGCGAATACGTCTGGTACCTTCTTCATTAATCGTTTGATTATGATGCTTCTAATTGGTTTATTTTGAACCTTTGGTCCTAGATTAATCAGGGCACTGTTTTCCATTGTCAGTTTTGATATCATGAGAGTATCCTAGCCTTCAATCGTCCCATCGTCCTTTTCATCCTTTGCATCCCAGTAATTTACTCTACCACAAAATGCAAATCCGTCAAGGCTCTCATATTCTACTGGTTCAATTTCTCATAACAACACATTGTCCTTATTTTTTGCCTTTCTCCATTGACCTAACACCTGATTTTTTTTATTCAATTCGTAGGTTACATACCCAACATAGAAGTCGATATGGAAGGCGTCGTAGTAAATCAAAGCTTCTATGTGATGGAAACTGCTAGCTTTGACGTTTTGTTGGGTATGCCGTGGAATGCAAGAGCACAATGTACCCTAGGTTTTAAAGGGATTGAGCATTGGTGTACCATCTCTTCTCCTACAAGATCAGCTTCTTTCGTGGTATCAACTGTACCTAGGAGTTGGATAGGTGAAATACAAGTCAGTGAATACGAAGACGATGTAGACAGTGACAACGATAGTGATTACGATGAAGTCGATGATGTCATGGCTGTGAGAAGAATCGAAGTAGATGAAATTGACGAATTGAATAAAAAAAATCAGGTGTTAGGTCAATGGAGAAAGGCAAAAAATAAGGACAATGTGTTGTTATGAGAAATTGAACCAGTAGAATATGAGAGCCTTGACGGATTTGCATTTTGTGGTAGAGTAAATTACTGGGATGCAAAGGATGAAAAGGACGATGGGACGATTGAAGGCTAGGATACTCTCATGATATCAAAACTGACAATGGAAAACAGTGCCCTGATTAATCTAGGACCAAAGGTTCAAAATAAACCAATTAGAAGCATCATAATCAAACGATTAATGAAGAAGGTACCAGACGTATTCGCTTATGAGTTAAGAGATATCGGAAAAACGAACCTAGTGGAATATGAGGTTAGAACCGATGATATCATCGTACCTTCTATGCGATTGTGGCTGATTAGAATAAACAATCCCAAGATGAAGAAAATGTTCGAAGACCACCTAAGGGAAATGATCGAATGTGGCCTTTTGGAAAAAGGGTCGGGCGAATATGCTTACCATTGCTTTCTGGTACAGAAGAAAGAAAGCAGAACTGACAAATTAAGGGCAGTTGGTAATATGAAACCCTCAACAAGTATATAATTAAAGACAGTTACCCTCTACCAATAATTCGAGATATACTGGAACAAGGTGCCGGCCATGATTGGTATTCATTGGTTGACGCGTTTAAAGGATATTGGCAGATAGGTATCCGTGAAAAGGACCATGACAAAGTGGCTGTGGCTACCCCTCTTGGAGTACTTTGCTATACAGTAATGTGTATAGGCCTAAAGAATGCAAGCGAAACCTTCCAGAGGCTAATAGATCATTTGTTAGATGGTGAAAGATGGAAAAATGTCGCTGCTACGTATCAAGACGATGTTGGAATTTGGACTAATG